CCTTGGGGCACTCAGAGCAGGGCTCGCCAGCAGGCGGGAGCGCCTGTTTCCCAGGGCCTTCACAGGTGACCTCAAGCTCGCTGCCCTCAGTCACACAGTTCAGACTGGGGACTCCTGCTGGGGACAGGGGTCCTCCAGAGGGCCCCTGCCGCTGACCGCTCCAGCCCTTCTGGTGACCAGGTCACTGTCTGCCCCTGCTCCGTGGCCAGCCTTCCCTGCTGTGTCTGCAGCTCAAGTCTCTGCCTTTCCCTCAGGAGAGAGCTTGAGGCAGAGCCCCGCCTAGTACATGCAAAGATCCTTCCCTCAAATAAGACCACACTGAAGGTTCCCGGACTTAGAGGCACCTTGGGGCCACCCCAGCACACAGAGGACCTTCAAGGAGTGCTCCCAGGCCAGGGGGAGGCTTAGGCCCACTCCCCAGCCCCCTCCCCCGCCGATCCAGCGCCCAGGCTGCGGGCTGCCAGGAGTCCGTGGGCAGGAGCTGGGACAATGGCGGCTTCAGAAACTGCCCCTGCCTTGGGGCGGTGCTGCCCGGCAGTGCTCCCTGGGGCAGTGCTCCCTGGGGCAGTGCTCCCTGGGGCTGCTCTCCAGGTCTGAAGCCGGCTCCCCTGAGAATGTGGCAACAGCGTTAAGGCACCTCTGACAGCAGCGAGGAGGCATCACCCCATCCTTAAACCTGAAGGGGAGGGGCCTCCCCAGGGTGGGCACAGGGGTCAGTCTCAGCCCTATGAAGCTGTCAGCATGGCCTCAGTGTGGCCTTGGCCAGGGAGCGACCCCCAGGGCACAGCAGACCCCCTGTCTCCCCGCTGCCCCCTCACCAGTGGGTCTCAGTGGATCCGCCTGTTCTGCTCCCTGCTCTGTCTCCGGGGAGTCCTCACCGCCACCCCCACCCGCCCCTCTGGCCTGCACCCCAGCTCTGTGTGCATAAATAAATCAATCTTAAAAAAAGGTTTTTATTTGTGTAGCTCATGAACCAACAGCACGGGGAAGCTGTCCTGCCCTCGGTGCCTGTGGGCAGCTCCCACTGCACAGCGCCCCCTTCCTGGGCCCTCGTGACCGGCCTCCCCTCTTTTGTCATGGGGCTACGCGGCTCCTCCTGAAGGAGGGAGACAGGCTTGGAGTTAATCCCTTCTCCCGCCCCCACCCAGCTCGCCCCTCAGACCTGGGAGAAAACAATGGAGTGGCCAGTCCTCCCGCAGGGGCTGGTGAGGGAGAGGCCCAGCACTCCCAGCCAGGTCTCTCCCCACCCCCCTGCTCGGGCGGGGCAGGCCGGACACCCCCGACGGAGCCTGGAAGCGCCTTTGAGGTGGGGACTGCCCAGCTCTCCATATCAATGGGCTCCTGCCCTTTGGAGTTCCAGCTCAGGCCTCCGGTTTAACCCCTAGGCTCCCGGACCCTAGGGGCTCCTGGGGACCCAGGAGAGGCCGGGAGGATGTGCTCCTGGCTCCTGTACCCCCACGCAGCCCCCCTCTTCCCTCTCTCCCCGTGGCCTGTAGGGCGCCTCGTCCCGTCTGATCCCAGGTGGGAGACTGGCTGGGAAGCTGAGGTGCTGCAGGCCCACAGGGACGGGGCGGGGGAGCAGTCGGAGGCGCCGGACAGGCAGGAGGGAGCTAGGACATGGGGTCCTCTGCTGCCCTCGGAGCCACCCCAGCCTCCTCCGCCGGGACGCGGCCCAGCGCTCGAACCAGAGCGCCCCAGCAAATCGGGACCTGTCCTGGCTCAGGTCCGGGCGGGGGGTGGGCCTTTCTCTGGCCGAGGGAGGGAGCGAGCCTGCACCGGGGGCCGGTAGGTGGGTCTGGGCCCCTCGGGAGACACCTGCCCAGACCTGTGCGTCCGGATTCCAGGTGAAGGAAGGCCCGGGGACCCAGAGACAGACTGGCCTCTGTTTGCTCCTCTCAGCCACCCCTCCCCCACCTCAGTCCCCCAGGAGTTGGACAAACAGCCCCCAGACACCTGAGCTGCCCCCGCCAGCCAGCGAGGCGCCCCGCCATTCTCCAGCCTGCTGTCCTCACGTCCCCCGCATCCTCCTGCACCCGGGGGCCACCAGTTGGCCTTCATACTCCAGGAGCAATGTCCAGGACCCCAGGGGCGCCAGGGCACAGGCCTCACTGCCTTGTGGACCCTGCAGGCCAGCTGGTTGAGGCTCCCGTCCACCTTTGCAAAGCTGATGCAAGCACAGCCAGACCCCTCTTCCAAACACTGAACCCTCTGGCAACAAAAACATGCCAAGAACGGGCCTCCCTGGTGGCACCGGGGCAAAGGGGTTCAGTCTCACCGCTGTGAGGCGGTGGCAGCCGCTGCAGCCTGAGTCCAGCCCCGGCCAGGAGGGACCCCAGGGCACAGCACCCCCGCCCCCCCGCTGCCCCCTCAGCAGCGGGTTTCAGTGGATCTGCCTGTCCTGTTCTCCACGCTGTCTCTGGGAAACCCTCTCACCCCCCGCACCTCAGGCCTGTACCCCAGTTCTTATATGCCGTAAAAAAAAAATCTTTGAAAACCAAAACGGGGCCTCCCTGGTTATTCGCAGCACGGGGAAGCTGTCCGCAGCCAGGCAGCATGACCCAGGAGTCCTCCCCCGCACCTCTGGCCACACCCCAGCTTTGAGACGGAGATAAATAACCAAACCATATCCCACCCAGGGGTGTGGGCCGGCCCCTTTCAAGACAACAGGGAGGCGCTGGGACGCAACAGCAGACCCCTCTGCTGAGGGTGACCCCTCCACGGAGGGTGACCCCGGGAACTGAGCAAAGCAGCAGGAGCCCTAGAACCCGCCCGCCTGGGGCCAGGGGCTGAGTGTGTGGTGACTGCCCGTGAAGGGGCGCACGGTCACCTCAATTAACAGTCTACCAAGGCGAATGCCCACTGGGCGGAGGCCAGTGCCCAGGAGGGGCAGCCCTCACCCGTGAGCCGCCAAAGTCCGGAGGCCCCAGGCTGAGAGGCAGCTAGAAGGCGTGCCTGGGCGGGTCTGCGGGCGCAGCCACCTGGACCCCACTGGCCCCAGCACAGTGGAGGGGCTCTCCCCCTCTGCCCCCCCCCCATGAGCCAGGCAGGGGAGAGCCCCCAGGCAGGCCCAGCCCTGCCCCAGGCACAGCAGCACTTTATAATCCGGGCACCCCAGGAGGGGCTCCAGGCACGTGTGGAGATCGGGGCTCCTGGGGTGCTGGGCACTTCCTGAGGAAGGGGAGGGGTGAGGGCCTCAGCCAGGGGACTCATCGGTCCCCCAGAGCTGCTGCCTCTCCAGGGAGGAGCTGCCTGGGCCCAGCCCCGCAGCCCCCCCCCCCACCATCGTGCCAGGGCCTCTGGAGACCTGCCCCAGCTCCTCCAGCCCAGCCAGGAGTGGCGGCCACCTGAGCCGCGGGGCGGGGGTGGTTTCTAGGCCGTCGCCTGGGCGACCAGGGCACCTGAGCTGGGCGCCAGGCACCTGCTGTCTGGAACAGTGAGGCGGGGCCTCCCCCGGGAGCCGCCAGGGCCACGGGCTGAGGCAAGGCGGGCTGAGGCAGGGAGGATCGGGTTCCGGAGTGCCCCCACAGGCAGGGGCCCAGAGGGGTGTGCGACACTTGGGGACCCCAGGGGTTGGCACGGGAGGTGGGCGGGGGGCAAGACGGCAGGGAGGGGTGCCAGGGAGAAGGCCTCCAGCAGTCCTGCCCAGCCCCCCACTTCCTCCTCCAGCTCATCCTCCCAGTGCTGTCCCTGGGGTGCCTCGGCTCCTTTCGCTCATGGCCACCCCCACTTTTGCGTAGACCCCAAGGCTCCCAGGGCCCCCATGCCAGCTCCTCCTTCGCCTGGCTTCCCAGGCCGGCCTCCGGCCCCTCCCCCGCCTCAGTCTTAAAGCCCCGCCCTGCTGCGGGCGCTCAGTCCCCCTGCTCTGCCCAGGTGCGCTGCCAGGTGAGCCGCTGCCAGGTGAGCCGCTCGTGGGCCGTCGCGGGGCGTCCCGGCCAGCCGGAGGCGCATCGCACTCACCCAGCCCGAAGGTGGCGGGCAGGGTCCCCGGGCACGGGGCCAGACCTCCGGCTGCGGGGTGGTGGGGAGGCGTCCAGTGGGCACCTGGTAGGTGACCCGCCTTACGAGGGACGTGGGCCTGGCTGAGCGGCCTGAGGGGCTGACACGGGCCTGGCCAGGGCAGAGGCTGTGCGGGCCGAGAGGAGGTGTGCTGCAAGAAGCCCAGATGTGAGCCGGCCTGGCCTGTGGACGCTGACCCGCCTCTGGTGGCACCGAGACCCCCGGAAGCGCCCGACTGCCCAGCCTGCCAGGCGGCTCAGCTGAGACTCACCGAGGGGAAGATGGCCTCTGCTGGCCTGGAGCTCCTGGGGATGACCCTGGCCGTGCTGGGCTGGCTGGGGACCCTGGTGTCCTGCGCGCTGCCCCTGTGGAAGGTGACCGCCTTCATCGGCAACAGCATCGTGGTGGCCCAGGTGGTGTGGGAGGGGCTGTGGATGTCGTGCGTGGTGCAGAGCACGGGCCAGATGCAGTGCAAGGTGTACGACTCGCTGCTGGCGCTGCCGCAGGACCTGCAGGCCGCCCGCGCGCTCTGCGTGGTCGCCCTGCTGCTGGCGCTGCTCGGCCTGCTGGTGGCCGTCACCGGTGCCCAGTGCACCACCTGCGTGGAGGACGAGGGCGCCAAGGCCCGCATCGTGCTCGCCGCGGGGGCCATGCTGCTGCTGGCCGGCGTCCTGGTGCTCATCCCCGTCTGCTGGACTGCGCACGCCATCATCCAGGACTTCTACAACCCCCTGGTGGCCGAGGCCCTGAAGCGGGAGCTGGGCGCCTCCCTCTACCTGGGCTGGGCGGCCGCGGCCCTGCTCATGCTGGGGGGCGGGCTGCTGTGCTGCACCTGCCCCCCGCCCCCGGTGGGCCGGCCCCGGGGCCCCAGGCTGGGCTACTCCATCCCCTCGCGCTCGGGCGCCTCCGGGCTGGACAAGCGGGACTACGTGTGAGGCCGAGGGTGTCCCAGAAGGAAAGCCCGCCTCGGGGACCCAGCACTCCCACGGACTCCCTGCTTCCACCTCCCAGTCCGGAGGCCACTGGCTGCGGGGCTACGCCCAGCTCGCGGGGTCCGCGCCTCCTGGGCCCCCATCCCCAGGCAGGCTAGAGCTGCGGCCTTCCCGGAGTGGCCGCACAGCGGCCTCCTGTGCCCACCACCAGCCGGACTTGGGCCGGCCCCTCCCACCTGCCGGCAACCGGGTCTCCAAAGAACTGGGGCTCTGGAGAACAGCCCGCTAGGGCCAGCCCCTCCGCCCCACTGTGACCCGGGAATAAACGAGCTTTTGGACACGAGCCTGATGTGTGCTGGGCAGCGAGGCGGGGCCCAGGTCCAGCGGGGTGGGCCACCGAGGGGAGGCCCCGCACCCCCCACCGCCCGACCAGCAACACCAGACTGTAACAAAACGCTTTATTCAGTACAAACTGAGTGGGGGTGGGGGTGGGGGAGGGCAGCCCGCTGGGCTATTTGGCAACTCAGTGGCTCTTCCAGAAGCCTGGGGAGGGTTTGTCCCCACAGGCCCAGGGTCCCCCCCAGGCTCAGCAGGGACCGAGGGCAGACAGGCTCAGAGGGTCTTGTGGTCACCACACCCCCCGACAGGGAGCGGCTTTCACGTTGGACACGCGCTCCAGGTTGGCCCCCAGTGGGGATGTCTGAGTGCAGAAGGATCCGGAAACTCAAGTGTCACTTCTTTGGCTCCATCCAAAGGTGAGCTCAGGTGGGATGGGCAATCGGCTCCATCGATAGCCCAGTAAAAGGCAAAACCAAGAAGTAAAAGCCCAGAGCTGTCAGCCCAAGGGCCTGGGCGCCACAGTGGGCCCCCCACTCTCTTCCAAATCAGACGTAATTTTTGGTGGGGTACTCCGATGGCCCCTGGGAGGCGCGCGGGGCGGAGGCGGAGTAGCGGGCCAGGTAGCGGCTGGAGCCGCGGGCGCCCCCCGACGGGCAGGTGCAGCACAGCAGCCCGCCCCCGAGCAGCAGAAGGCCGGAGGCCGCCCAGCCCAGGTAGAGGGAGGCGCCCAGCTCGCGCTTCTGGGCCTCGGCCACCAGGGGGTTGTAGAAGTCCCGGATGATGGTGTGGGCCGTCCAGCAGACGGGGATGAGGGTCAGGACCCCCGCGATGACAAAGACGATCCCAGAGGCGAGCACCAGCCGGGCCTTGGCGCCCTCGTCCTCCACGCAGGTGGTGCACTTGGCGCCGGCCAGGTAGACCAGCAGGCCGAGCAGCGCCAGCAGCAGGGCGACCACGCAGAGCGCGCGGGCGGCCTGCAGGTCCTGCGGCAGCGCCAGCAGCGAGTCGTACACCTTGCACTGCATCTGGCCCGTGCTCTGCACCACGCACGACATCCACAGCCCCTCCCACACCACCTGGGCCACCACGATGCTGTTGCCGATGAAGGCGGTCACCTTCCACAGGGGCAGCGCGCAGGACACCAGGGCGTTCACCCAGCCGAGCAGTGTCAGGATGATGCCCAGGATCTGCAGACCAGCGGAGGCCATGGCGACGGAGGCCGGGGAGCTGCGGGGGGTGGGGGGAAGAGGACAGAAGCCAGGGCATGAGGACGGGGAGCCCAGGCACCCTGGCTGCTGGAGCTGGACACTGTCCTGAAAGGAGCACGGGGAGGGAGGGCCATGCCCCGGCCCATCTCCTCTGGGAAAACAAGCATTTCTTCTTCCCCTACCTCTGCCACTTCGCTAGTGACTGACACGTCCTGGCTGTTTTGAGCTCAAGTGAACAATAACAGAGTTGCGCCAACGCCGCCCCAGGCGCCCGAGCGTTTCATCAAAAGCAAGGGCCCCTGGCACCGACCAGCTCCCACGCGGGATCAGGCCTTCCTCCCTCCCCAAAGGGGGCCCTTCACCCCACGTAGTCTCAACCCCAGGCTGCAGATCTGGGTGGGCCTCGGACACAGCCCCTCCCCCACCGCGGACGCGGGAGGGCGGGCAGATGCGAGAAAGCAAAACCGGGAGGTGCGTTCTCACCCCGCCAGCTGCCGCCCAGGCCGCCATTCCGGCCTCCTCCTGGGCCCTGGATGCACCCCGCGGTTGGCGGCATTTTCTGGTGGAGGTGTGCCCCAAATGCCATTTCCCGAGACCCGAGGTGAAGTCCTTGGGATCTGCCCCCAAGCAGTTTCTCGGGGCGGCCCTGCCGGCCCCCGCACCTGTCGCGCCTCAAGTCCCACTTCGGGGCGGCGGCCGTCCCTCGCCCCAAGGTCCCGCGCACGCTCGGACCTGAACTTACTAGCCGGCCCCGGGAGACCCACGCACGCCGCGTCCGGCCCCGCCTCTCCCCGCGCGCCTGCCCACAGCCCCCCGGCGCCGAGGGCGCGCCTTCCCGCAAGGGCCCCCAGTCCCTTTCTGAATGCGACCCGAGGGGTGTCCTTACCCCGTAGCCTGGGAGTCAGCGCCGGGGAGGAGTTAATGGCGCCGCTGGGAGCAGGGTCGGCTCCCGCAGGTGAGGGGGAGGGGGAGGGGAACCCCGCCCCGGAGGAAGCACCGGTGGGGGAGGGCCGCTCGGGTTGCAGCGCCTTTGTCCCGGGAGGGGGAGGGGCGTCTAGCCCTCAGGGCCTCGGAAGGACTCGACCGGCCGGTGGCCCCCAGCGCAGGGACGCGTGGCCCTCGCGCCGTCGCACGGTCACCTACCCAGGCCCTGCACACGCACCCCCGCCACGCCCTCGGCTCCGCCAGGCCGCTGCCCCCCGCCCCCCGCAGCGGGCGCACCTGGCCCGCCTCACCTGCGAAGGAGACCGGAGAGCCCAGGAGCCGACGGAGTGTGGGCGCGGGGCGGGGGCGGGGGTCTTAAAGCGGCGTTGACGTCACCGG